ACACCCAGGGATGAAGCCTGGATATTTGAGTAAAACAGACGTATCCTGTGCACATAAAACCCAGATTTAGCGGGGTAACTTCTAAATCACACGAGGTCCTCAGGTAACACCAGTCCTGTGCAGATACGGTTAAAATCAGAGGAATTCACCCAGACTGCTGTATGAGTGGATCATAGACTGGACAGAGGCAGGCAAAGCCTTACCTTGCCACACATACCATCTTTACTGCAGTTCTTATTGTCCTTGTCTGTCGCCTCTTCTTCCACCTGCAAACACACAGCAGCTCTGAGTAAAAGAGAAAAGTCGACTTCTAGTAACGGAGCTGGTCAGTCTGGAGAGAATCAGACTTTCTTACCTCCTTCCTCCACTTGAGCTCACAGAAGACCCTCTCAAAGCACTCATGCATGTAGTTAAACTGAAACACAAAGAGATTTAGACTCACATTGATGACATGTCTTCCTTTAAAAGAACAGCAACAATAGGAAAACGCTGAAGATCAACACTGCTCTCATGTACCAGCTCATAATTCTAAGGTTGTAGCTAGCAGCTGGTTAGCTTACGTTAGCATAAATACTGAAAATGATAACAGAATACACCTCAAAGCACTGCCAAAACGTACTAACTAGCAGCTTTATGTTGGTTAAAGTCTTCTGCATTTTGTATTTGTATGTATTGACATAATACACAATATTTCTCTGCATTGAGTTCTTTTATTTTAATGTCACAGTTTTTTTTTTTTTCATTACTGTCTATTAAGGTAAACAAACACTTGATCACTGCATTAATTAATACAGTTACTCATGATCATTTTTAAATGAATGATAACGGCCATTATTTACAAGCCTAAAACTCATAATTTCATGTTTGGTATGACTGCAGGAGCTGAAACACTTAAATGAGCAAGAACAACATATTAATATTTAAAAATGTGTGTGATACTTAGATATAAAGCTTCAATGCTTAATTCAGAATCAGATTTAGAAATATTTTATGTATCCCTAAAGGGGAAATTGGTTAGTCTTAGAAATGTAAAAATAAAAGATGAACACGAGCAGAAAAATGTGTCCTAAGTGGAAAAGCATAAAATGTAATATTGTACAAAATAAAAATATATAAATACAGTGTAATACATAATAATAGAGTTATGATTGAAAGAATAATTGATTGAATTAATCATCAATTATTAAATGAATCACAAACTATTGTGATAAAGTTCTACATTCTGCACTTGCAGCTTCTTAAGGGTGATCACTTTGCGGTTTCTTTCTTCCTCTGTGACGCTAAACTGAATATCTACATCATTTCTTGACATTTATTGACTAAAAAAACATTGACTGACTGAGAAAATAATCAGCAGCTGCAGCTCCACTCACATAAGGTGTGAATATCTTGACCCAGCGCGGCTTCTTCTCCCCTCGTGCATATTCAAAGCAGAAGGCCATGCCCTCCTCGTCGGTGTCCCACCTCTGCATCTCCCCCCAGTCGAAGGCGATCACCTGGTTCTGGAGCGACACACACGACACCTTTAATACTCATTCGACTTAGTGCACATGCAGCTAGCGCGCTAACAAACTCTTGCCTCCAGCGTGCCCTCCTCGGTGCAGGCGTGCAGCTTGAAGTGGTGGATGCTGATGGCGGTGATCACGTGGCCTTTACGACGGGAGTCGCAGGAGCAGTGGGGGAATATGATCTCGTTGTAGCCTTCGCATCCTCGGAGCAGACTCAGGTACTGAAGGGGACGGAGGAGGAGGACACGGGAGACAGGATGCTTTTAATATCAACTCTGCAGCTTCTCATATTTAACCGTAACAAACACACAGAGTCGCCGTGGTTATTACCTGAACCCTCACTGATTTAAACTTGGTTTTTTTTACCTGCAGCTTTAATATCTCAAAATGTAAATAACTCACGTTTCTACACCCACGAGAACTGTGTTCGTTTTCTTAGCAGGACTTTAGAACTGTGGGACTGCTCGATTCATACTCCTGCACTGAGTTAAAGGATGAGCAATTAATTGATTTCAATTTGAAACAGCGCGAGCAGCAAATTGCGAAACCTGCAATTTAAAATACGCTCAAACTGCAGCATGTTTAATGTGGGATTTAAACTGTTGCCGTCACGCGTTCGGCAAGAATCTAATGTGGCGACGCTCATCGCAATCGATTTTAAATCTATTACACAGCCGAGATTGAACTGAGGCTTGATTTTCTTTTAAATGTATCACAAATCCAATCGAAATATCCGTCCGGAAACCAGCTCGAGAGTGAGAAACTTCTGCAAAACTTCCTCACTTCCTCTGGAGACGTGCAAATCAGGCCACGGCTTCAGAGGCAGAAGTCAGGCTGGAGACGACATCGACCTCCTTCGACTGATTATCGGATTTGATGTTAACTTTACAACCTGTTCCCGATAAAATCAATGAACCTACAAGTGTGCCACTGCTCCTTCCTTTATCTGTAATCACAACTCAGTAGTATCGATCAATGTCCCACCTACAGAATTATCTGATTGGTTACACATCATAAGCAACAGCCAATCACAATCAAAGGTTAAGTGCATGTAAAACAAAGTTAAACAGGTATTTCAGCAAAGTTTTTTGCTGGAGTGTGTGTTTTTCTCAGTTTGACACCAGAGTTTCATGTTCAGCAGCGTGCCGTGCGGTTTGGCTCAGAGACTGACCATGGACATCTTCTTCTGCTCCGCCAGCTTCTGCAGCTGATAAGATTTCTGCTCAGCTTTGATGAAGCCTTTCTTCACGTCGTCCACGGCCTGCAAAGGAGCCAGAGGGATGTAAATATCACCAAAACAAACAAACAAACAAACAAAAAACTCCATGTAATCCAAATCTTCAAACAATTTCTGCTAGACCGTCTGTGATGAAACTTTTACGGTATAAAATATGGACATTTATAAAGAAATCTGTGAAATTATAGCTTTTCATACCAAATATTTTCCAAGATATGTATGCTTTTAAATTGCCTGTTGACCCACTTTTATCAGGCACATTGATATTCAAGGCTGTTTGAACGACAATATCTCAGGAACTATTACAGATGAATGAAATATTCTTAGTTTTATTTTAACCTCTACAACTCTGTTCAACTTGGATCAGACTATTAACTAATACGGTAGTTTCTGTGGTAGAATTAGTCAAACCTGCTCAATCAGTGATGAAAGCTTAACAAAAATAACTTTTAAAAATGTTTTGCGACCAACTATTTCATATTAAAAGTCTTCTACATGTGTAGTTTTGTGTTATTGTGACCTGCAGCTACATGTGGTTCAGAAAATGTCACTCGTTGACATCTGCATTTCAAAGATTTTCATTAACTTGAGCTCAAAGATGGAACTTTTCATATGACAGCTTCAGTGTTTTTTCAGATTTCAGCTCGACTACAATCAGAGTTTATTTGATCTACTTGTCCAATATTGCTGACTCCTAATTTATGACGAGTTTCAAATGTGAAATATCAGTAAAATTTCAGGTTTTTATCTTGAATAGTTCCTGAAAGGGCTGCAAGGTGGCTCGGTGGTTAGCACCGTTGCCTCGCAGCAAGAAGGTCGCCAGTTCGCGTCCCGGTGGGGACACCCGGGATCTTTCTGCGTGGAGTTTGCATGTTCTCCCCGTGCAGCGTAGGTTCTCTCTGGGTTCTTCCTCCCACAGTCCAGAAACATGTTGAGGTTAATTGGTGATTCTAAATTGTCCGTAGGTGTGAATGTGAGTGTGCTTGGTTGTCTGTCTCTAAGTGTAGCCCTGTGATAGACTGGTGACCTGTCCAGGTGAACCTGCCTTCACCTTGAGTCAGCTGGGATAGGCTCCAGCCCCCCACCACCCTAGTGAGGATTAAGCGGTGTATAGATGATGTATGGATGGATGGTTCCTGAGATGTTGTTGTTCAAACAGCCTCGAATTTCAATGTGTGAAAAAAACCTGGTCGAAGGGCAGTTTTCTAAAAATATACATGTCAGAAAGCACTTAATAAATCAAGCTAAAAGTTCAGAAATACTCTTATAAATATCCAGAGTTACTGCCAAAAAAGTTTCATGCAAATCAGAGATGTTTGAGCAGAAGGACGCTGATGATTTAATGAGTTTGTACGCACCTGGTGAAAGAAGTAGTTGACGGCGAGCTGGTTGTCGTTGAGCAGAATCTCTTCTTCTGTGGTGAAGAGCCACTTGCGCAGCGTGAGGCAGGTTCCCGGGATGGCTGAGGTATAATTCTGTACATACAGTTTGTGGGGGAATTCGTTGGGGGCCAGTTTACGCACTGGAGGCAGAAGGAAAGAGGAAAAAAAAAAAAAAACCTCGAGTTTCACAAGCTTGTTAACTTTTAAATTCTGCAAATTCAAAAATCAAGAGTCTGATTAAGACAGAAATGACTAAACAACAGAACAACAAACATAAGAATAAAACAAGGCTGAAGATGAATTTCAGGAAGTGATTTAACAGATGATGTAACTTTAATTTAAATTTAATTAAAAATCAACCAAAGTCAAACATTTAACTAAAAGCTACCTGATGTGAAAACAAGAAAACGATCTTTCTATTTCTAAGGACATCAGAGAGACTTCAGAGGGTAAAAGACAGCAAACACTTCTAAAATTTTAACCTGCGGCTGATTAAAAACACAGACGACTTTCTTCACAACACCGAGGGATTAAAAAAAACAAACAAAAAAATCGCTTTATTTCTAGTTTGCGCTTCGCCTGAAAGAAGCGAGTTCGAACTCTGCGACCTGCGTTCATCAAATTTCTCTCGCGTGTTTGTTGTAGTCGCGCTTCTGACGGAGTGCAGTGGTTCATGGGGAATTAATTTAGCGGTGTGGTGGGCTGAAAACGCTTTAAAAACTATGACACATCCTTGTAACACTGCGTTACTTCTTTTAAAAAAAAAAGGCCTTTCTTTCTACACAAACAAAAAAAAAACCTGAGAGCGTTCGTGTAGCGTCTCTTTCTGGCACTTGTTAGTCAGCGCTGCCTTCGAGCTATTGGCAGCAAACCACTAAGATGCTTTTGTTTCTCCTTGATATATATATTGAAAAAATACAGGAATTTACTCTAGATGACTTGAAGAATTAGTCGGAAAGAATTAAATCTTAAAAAACCATTTGGGTGATTTTATATTAAGTGCAAAATTTGAGTTAAAAAAAAAAAAGAGCTAAAAAAGCTATTTGTAGCCGTTACATGGTGTCAAACTGGCAAAGCTGTATGAAGTTGTTGTTTTTTTTGCTTTGGACTGCATTCAGATGTGGCTTTGAACTCGTCATGCAGAGCTTTGTTTGTGCTGCAAACTAATTAGTCGTGTAGCAACGAGCGACGACTGACAGAGAACCTGTTTCTGGTCGACGTCGTCCTTTCTGTAGCCAAAAATATTTCCGTTCAACTGATTGTTTTTTGCGACCAAATCTTCGTTTTCCTAATCTTTACTCATTTTGCTGCTCACACGTGGAGTCTGAATGTCAACAAACTCTAAACAAAGTTAAGAAAATGTTTCCAAGAAGCCTTAAATCAGAAAAAATAACGTTCTATCAGAAATCAAACTTCTCTGACTCAGAATTGTGGGAGTTTTCTTTTTGTATCGAACAGCAAAATAAACTTGCAGCAGGACGTGTTTGAGTTAATTTGCAAATGAAACGTTGGGGCTGACGCTGTTTTCGGTGGAGAAATGAGCACAGATTTCCAGATTTCATAGATGTTTCCTGCTCACCAAAGGTGTGGTTGATGACCTCGAACAGAGCGAAGTAGCTCGCCGTCACGCTGTCCATCCCCAGTTTCATGACCACAGCCTGGGAGGCAGAAGGAAAGAGTGAAAACAAACAGTGGAACAAACACGGATGACTTTAATAAGGTCATACAGGTGCATGTTACCTGGTACACCTGGTCTGTGGTGGAGTTTTTGCGAACTCTGACGGTGAGCGTGGTTTTGTCGGGCATGGCTATTCTCAACTCCACGTCTGACACGCCGTTATAGTTCTGGGTCATGAGAAAGACAAACTGGACGGTGAGTAACAGACGCCGCATGAGCTGTTTTTTCCAACTTCTTTAAATGTGTTTTTTTTACCTCGTCTGATTCAGACAGGAACTCCTGCATGATGTCACTTTCTCCAATTACCCGAACAGAGCACACTGCCGAGAAAAAAAACACATATTATTAGGAGAAGTCTTTTTAGGCGTGTGTGAAAAATAAAGTGGTTATGCAACGGTGTAGTTACAGTAAAGCCCCAAATTATTCATAGCCAGGCAGGATATTCAGTTATAGTGGACAATCTCAACACTTTTCTCAGTTTGTAGTGTTTTAGAGGGCTGTGAGAAATGGCAGGAACGCTGTAGGAGCTGCATTTTGTAAAACATTGGCAGTAATTTCAAGGATATGAATAATTTTGGATGTGGCATTTTGCGTAAAAATGGGGAAAAAAACAACATAGAAATAGTAAAGGTTTATCATTAACATCTTAACACAATGTCAATGGCATTTCCAGCCAGAAGAAACACACTGGTTACATAGACATTCACTTTAAATCAAAAATTAGGCATGAGTGTGAATCATTTCGGGCTTTACTTTACTGTGCAGCAAGCGAGAGGCATCTGTTTAACTTTCAGGCTTTTGAATTCTCTCTCTCTGAATTCTCTCATGACGTCCATGAAAAGTTTTATCTTATTAGATTTTTATCAAAAAATGGCAATAATTTCAAGAGCATGAATGATTTTGGATGTGGTATTTTTGTTTTAAATGTGAAAAAAGACAATAATAAAACAACAAAAATAACCAAAGACTGTCATTAACATCTTGAACAAAATGTTTTTTGTCACTTGTTTATGTCATTTCCAGCCAACAGAATCCCTCTGGTCAAATAGAAATTCACAATAAATACATATTTGGCATGGGAGATGCATAATTTTGGGCTTAACTGTGTGTACTTTGGCAGTATTCCTGCCAAGCTTCCCTCCACTTTATGACCTGTTGCTTATTCTGGTGCTTGTTGAGATGCAGGACAAGTTTAAAGACGAACAGACTAATCAATCTTAAACCCATAAACCTCTGAGAGGATGATACGAAGCTATGCAAGCACCCCCCACGTCGCTCACCTTTCTCCAGGTATTCCTCCAGGCCTCTGCGCCGGGCGTCCAGCTGCTGCTCCGACAGGGAGAAAGGCCATTTCCCAGGCAGCTTGGGGAACGTGAAGTTGGCAAACTCCCTCTTCAGGTTCTGGTGGAGGATCACAAACTCCCGGTAGCGCTTGGAGCACAGCTGTCTGCCTGCCATGTACACGTTGTACACCTGGAGGACAGAACAGAGCATATTTAAAATGAAAACAAGTCCAAAACACCACAACTAGGATTAAGAAAACTGTAATTTTCTCATATGTTCAGCGCTTAGCTTCATCTATGTGCTGTATGTGTTGGACCAGATGCACACGCACCACAAACTTCTCATGGTTGAGCTCGGTGTGCTTGTAGCTGGGCACGGAGATGGGCACGGCCTGCTTGTCGGAGTAGTCGTAGCAGGACTGAGCCGACCCGTCGTCTCCGGGGTCCAGGCAGTCGGCCTCCTGCGGCGGGACGGACAGCACGGCCAGGACCAGCTCCCTCTCGCCGGCCCGGATCAGATCCACCACCTGCTTGTGCGTCGCTCCTTCCACGTTCACGCCGTTGCTGTCGAATGAAAGACGTAGATGTTAGTGGGGTGAGAGTTTTATTTATTACTCGCATCTACAAAAACTCACTGGACAGTTTGAAAGACATGTTATCTTGTTTAAAATATTTAAAATTACACTTTTTACCAGAGCTAGAAACTGTAAGAACAGAAGAAAGAGTCAGATTTTTAGCGTTCAGACGGTCCTTCAACTAATCATGTGGCAAAAACAACCAAATCTAGGCGTAAAATCATCATAAATGATCAAAACTATTTTATTCTGCATGTATAATTTTAAATAAGTTGCATAAGATCCTGCACAAAACAACAAATTGGGCACACAGAGACAGAGAATCGATGATAGCTTAGCTGTGGGCAACAAATTCTGACTATTCGGTTGAACTGCTGGCAGCGTTTACACAGAGCAGACAGGAGACAAACATGGAAACTAATCAGAAAACATCGTTGAACAATAAAATAAATGCAGCAAGGCTCAGAAACAGTGAACAGAGGAGCAGGGAGACACATTCAGCATGGTGAAACATCTTTCTATAGTTGATGTGCACAGTCGTGTGAAAAAGTTTGTGGAGGTTACAAAAAAACATAAATAGCAAAATATTCCTAGCATGTGAAGCCTCCATTTCTTTTTCCAGTGTTGGTAACACTTGTGAACACTTGGGAAAACAGTTCTCTCTCCTTCTTTGTGGTTGTTCTGTTTCCACAGAGGTGCAGGACTTTATATTGCAGAGAAAGATGTCACAGGAGCACATAAAATAATAAAAACCACAAACCTCGGGGTTCATATTCCCAATCTGACTTGTGATTTTCTGCTTTTAACAAGACTGTTTGTGTCTGTGAAACGTTCCTACGCCACTCTTGTATTGGACTGAAGTATAAAAAACGACTATAAACGTCAAATTACGACTCAGTCAACACGTGACTGCACTGAGTAGGGAAGCCGGCTGATGGCATGTCACTCCAGTTAGTCGTATATGTCGGTTTTATAGCGGCCTGTGGTTTGTATTTCATTCACACATTCTGCTTTCCGTCGCTTGATATTGATGGAGCGCCGTTAGCCGGTGATCAAACTGTCACATCACTGCTGCACATTACATTATATGTGAATCTGATGCCAGTGACGTAACCTCATGAAGGAGTGTGTGTCAATAAAACACAACGCTGCTGTGGGATCAGCACACACTCAGCATCGCCGTTCATCAAATTATGAGATTCTTGGCTCAACTGGAAGAATCATTGAAACCGAAGTGCCAAAAAAAAGTGAATACAGAGCGTAAATGGGCTCCAGCTTGGAAGCAGCTCCTGTTTTATGCACAGTAGTGTGATTACTCTGCTCCCTCAGGAACGAGACCTTGGGTTATGTCATGAGCACAGCTGCACCGGAGCGACGCTGGGCGTGTGCACGTCGACAGCCATGTGTCAGAGGCATGACGGTGCTAATGATAGAGCTGCACAGACCTCACCTATAGTTAACTCTGCCCTGCACGGTCCCGGCGTCTCTGCTCAGCATCACCTCAGGCTATTTCAGACGCTTTAAAACAGGAGCGGCATTCGAACGAAGCCGAGATATTTTATGCATTTAAACTATTCAAGCAACGGAAATGTTAGCTTGGATGCACAAGCTGGACAAACTCTTTTAAGACAATATGAGCGAATGTTATCTGCATAAACCTGAATAAATCCAACTCAATGCTCACAATTTGTGCGGCAAAAAGTACAAGAGTCCGGCTTCTAATTTTATTTGTCGATTATACTGTTGATTCATTTCTAACCAATTCGTTGTTCGGTATAAAAAGTCAGAAAATGGCAAATATGTTTTATCCAACAACTTAGAAACCTGGAAAATATTCACATTTTAAGAAGTGTTTTTTCCTGAAAGAATTACTCAAACTGATCGATCGAGTATCAGAATAGTTGGCTTAATGGAATAATGAACTAAAAAAGGACCTAAATGATGTGCTCCTGACATTTTTCTCCTTATTTTTGTGTACACAGAGTTTGAAAAGAGATGCACGGATCAGAATCTGAAAAGCAAAATTAGGCTCCGAAAAGGAAGATTTGGTCGCGAAAAGAAATCGAAAAGAAATCGATCGAATGGGAATATTATGGTTACAGAAAGGGTGAAGTTGACCTTGAAGCTGCTTCCACCACAAAAGGCAATTAATTAGTCTGACCATTTAAATCAGCCACATCTAAATGCCATTAAAGCACAAAACTCTTTTGGATGTGTACATGTGCACCTGAGAAAGGTTCCAAACTACCTCTTTTATTAGATTTTATTTTATTTCTGACACAGCGATGATTAATTCTTTTCAACCTGTATTTCTTCACATCACAGTTTTGTGCAGCCCTAATATTCACCAGATAAACAACATTTTTTCAGGTAATAACTGATTTTTTTTCCCCTGTTTGCTGATGAACGCATTGACCTTCATATTTGATAAATACATGTTATTTGTTTTTTTTGGAGATGTTAGGGGTCTGTGAGTTGGGTTGAGGAGGTAATAGATGCTTATTCACAGAGTTTGTTGTCGTGCAGCTCCACAGGAACAGGAGAGAAACACTGAAAAGCAGGATCTGGTTGCAAAACAAAATCAGCTTCAGCGACAGAAAGGATGATGTCAACAAAAAGCAGGAAGTCTGTCGGCAGCGTCTGCAGTTGTTGCCACCACACGATGCAACATGAGTCATTTTGATCACGTAAATCAGCACCACAAAGCCTTGCAGTGTTGCATCACATGAAAAAGATTCTAATCTGTGCTTTTCTAACATTTTTTTTCCCCTTTCTATGCAGATGTACACTCTTAAAAAATCCCACCAATCATTTTAGATGAATCAGATAAAGTTATTCGAATCATTTGGTGAGAATCTTGCATTTTTTTTCATGCTGCAGAAGAAGAAAATATTGCTGTTCAGTCCTAGTGCACTGGCAGTTGGGAGGGAGAGCTGAAAAAAAAAAAAACGACTCTGAAACAAGCTGAACAATCCAGGACAGGAAAGGCTCCACTTAGAACTTCTGACTGACGGCTCATCCGTTATGTCATGGCGGGGCTTAAGCTGGCAGCGTGACACCGGGCTAAAGCTCAGCGGACACATGCTCTCTAATACCAATGGTGGCACCAGATAGCTGCACATTAATATGCAATCAAGTAAAGAGAGGCCCTGTGAGCCGCCTGCACGCACAAACGGGGCAAAGCTGAAACCGGCGCCGCTGAGGAAACAGGATGATCGCGTAGGTACGAGAAAGACTCAAACAGGAGACACAAATGCAGCCGCTCTGCAGATGTAGCAGGGGAAAGAGCAAACGTCTTCTACTGCACAAAACGCAGACTAAGCAGTTTGGCAGCGCTTCCCTTCCTGCAGCTTTACGGTGATATAATAAGCACCTGACATGGTGGCCTTTGCACCGACGCTATCAGCACTTCTGACTTGTGATAAACAGTTTATAAGAAGTGTCACCTCTTCTGCCGTCGTAATGTAGGCAATATTTTTTTTTTATTTTGTTCGCACTGTGGCTCACACATCTTCAATCTGCTAAATTCGTTTTCAGTTTAACATTTATGCATAACCTTTACAACCACACAGGCTGGTTACTCTGCAATAAAGCCTGAAAAGCAGGAGCTGTTTATAAATGTGCAAAGAAGTATTGATCAGCCAGAGAATAGCAGGGGCACTATAGCTCTGCAGGCACTTCACTCTGGGTATACTTAGATGCTGTGTACAGACTGTGCCTGGACAGGAAGGCAAAAATACTCCACGGAACACTGTCAGATCTTCTGCTGAATGAGTGTGTAAATATCGAGCCATACAGTGTTTGGGCCTGTCGTATCCACTGCATGTTTTTCGGATATTAAATTTATCAGAATAAATACAGTGATCAAAAGGTTGAGCAAAATAGCTGGTGTAGGGGTGAAACAAAAGGGAGGACATCCAATATCCCTTCAATGTCACAATACACAAAATTGTACCACCTTACAGTAATTGCACTATTTTTAGGTTTAACAGCAGAGTATTTGCTCTGATGTAAAATTAAAAATACACTTTGTGCACTCATGCAGCCCCATATCATGATGCTGCCACCTCCGTGCTTCACTGTCAGGACGATGCATCCACTGTGGTGGTCCTGGTCAGGTTCACACCAAACATGCTGGACTCAACACATTTATCTTCATCTGAGCAAAGAATGCGCTCCCAACATTCATCAGGCTTCTTTTCGTGTTATTTAGCTAGGTATAATCTTGCAATTTCTTTTCCAAAGCGCAAGCAAGGGTGTTTTCTTGTCTTCAGGTCATAGAGGTTGATGCTCACAGTGTCTGAGCTTCACACTAACTCTGGTTTCCACTGATAACCCCTGTACCAAGTCTGGAGCAGCTGCCTTTGTCTGATTTTCACAGCTGGATTGTGAAAGTAGTTCACTGTCTGTGGAGTCATTTCAGGAGGACGACCACTGCAGCCCTGATTAGTGCTACTATGGCTCCTGGTTATTACTACAACTGTGTTTCCACTGACTTGTAGCTACTCACTTACCTTCCTGTCCTTCATCTGAAATCTCACAATCAGATTTGTTCAGTTTCCTCTCTCAATTCTTTTTCCATGTGGAGCCATGATGCAGACACAGCAAATAGGTCCAAAACTGAAAAAGCTCACAGCTCATTTTAGAGCCATATTCATGCAGTTAGACTGATTGGAAATCACAGGTGGACTCAGTTTAGTTTCGGTGATCATTTATTGCTTTGAGTTTCTATTTTGGGGCCTGAATTTTCAACACCATCTTTCTAAAGTGTCTGTTTTTGATTGTTTATGGGAGCAAACATCCTACTATTCAGCTTAGAAATAATGCAATTACTGAGGTGATACAATATTCAATCATTTACCATTTAAACGATCCTGCTCAGTGGCGTATTCGCTGCTTCTGCATACCCTACATACATCCACATGCATGCACACAGAAATAATGGGGTCAACAAACTGCTAGGTTACTGCAGGCCATGCCTTAACAAAGCAGTGTGCAAAAACCAGCCAATCACACAGAGAATTTTAGAGGGCAAAACCAATCAGAAATGAACTGAAGGCATCCCTCCCTTTCTGCATCACCTTATTCTGTGCACACAGACACACTGAAGCGCCAGTGCTGATGCTGGGCTGGATGCTGTGTGTCCTTCTCCATAGCAACAGAGTCTAACATCAGCAAGCCATCTCCATGCATACTAACACCTCGAGCCTGAATGCAGCAGCCACAGCACCGGTCAATACTGGGTTAGTTTGGCAGGGTCACTGGTGGTGGTGCTGATGTTTGAGTCATGGTGCATGTAAACATAGTGCTGCATGCAGGACACAGTGATATGAGTGTGCACACCTGAGAGTATGTGGCATGCTGTGGCTTAGTTCAAGTGTGAGGGGAATCAGTAATGATGCCTGGATCAAACACAGACCCTCCTTTCATTGGGATGCTCTGCCCTGCAGGATGCACACAGTGGCAGCCTGACTGAGGTCCCAGCGGGCAGTCAATGATGCCCAAAAGTCCTCCTTGCATTGAATTTCACTGACGGAGATGAAAGAGTTATTACTTAATTAGCTTGGAGTTAAGCTAACACAGTTAGCCACTTACACCTCCAGGATGCGGTCCCCCTTCGAAATACCGGCTCTGTCGGCGGCTCCTCCCGGCAGCACGGCGCTGACATGCTGCAGCGGCGCGTACAGCTCCCCGTTAATGCTCCGTAGCTGCCCTCCTTCGCTCACTTGCCCCCGAACGTTGAAACCGTAGCCCGAGTCAGACTTCACTATCCGGACTAGCCGCGGGCCCGAGGTAACGGTTGTCGCCGTCTGGCAGCTGCCTCCGCCGCCGGTGACCGGTGTAACGTCGCCGCTGCCGGAGCCGTTCCGGGACGAAGGATGGGGCAACGGAGGGACCGAGGAACAAACTCCTTGTCCCTCGACGTCCGCCATTTCTCTACGCTGTTTGTATCATCCACTCCGGTGCGGCTAACGTTAAATATCCCGCAAACATTAGCTTGTAGTAGCAGGCTAATCAGCTCGGCTAGCTAACCGACCGAGCTGCTCCGGGAAGAGCCGAAGGTGGCCGACGATTCGCGAGAGTCAGCCCAGGGTGTTTAGGACGCGTTCGGTTTGGATCACCGCAGAGCTGCCTGAGCCGAGGGCTAGGACACATTCACTTAATCCTACATTACTTTTTTTTCTTAGCAAATGTTGATGATTAATCGTGATTTTTTTTAATCTTATGAAAAGTTTCTTCTTACCGGAAATGACACAAACTAAACACCGTTAAACATCAGTACAGATAATAATGATACATTTTAACTAAGGTTTGAACAATATGGGTTTTATGTTTTTTGTTTGTAGTTTCTTAATTTTCTCTATTCGGTCTCTTTTGTTGCCCACTAAGGTCCACACCTTAAATCATTATTAATTGTAATGTTCTCCAGACTCTTTTCAGGTTAATCTGTGCCTGACTTCTAACTTAGCTGCTAGCTGTTAGCATTAGCCACCTTGAGAGGAGCCAACTTCCGGGTTTGTGTTTCTTGTTCAGTTTTTGCAGTTTCTGCTTGAGAAACATTTCTGAGTGACTACAGACAGAGAGGAGGCTGCACCAGACCTGAAGTGGCTCATTTAATAAAAAATAGAGATACAAATAATCGGGAAAATGCCAAATATTGGCCATGATAATTGATCTATCCAGAATTGTATCTATTTCTATGTTTTATTTTGTTTGTTGACATTTTTACTAAAATGCTGTGGCCCAAAATGATTCACACTCTTGAAAATATTTGCAAATTTTGGATGAAACGCAGCTTCTATTTTATTCCAAATATTGCTTCTAATTTCCACCATGTTCTAGACGTTCTAATACACTATAAAGTGAGAACCGTTGAGATTATGAAACCTGAGAATTAAACTGAAGAGCCAGATAGTACAGTAAAACACTCAATTATTTATAGCCTTATCGTAGTTTGATTTAGACTATCTGATCAATAGGTTTCTTCTTGCTGGGAATGATATATACAAGCAACAAAAGACAGTAAGACATTGTGTTAAGTATGTTAATGATGAATTTGAACTATTTTCATCGTTTTTTTTTTTAAATGTTTTTTTTTTGCACGTTTATTTATTTATTTATTTAAATATTTGTTTTTTTCTACCAGGTTCTAAAGCGTTCTGTAATTAAACTAGATATCTCTCATTTAACAAACAAATCAATTGCTTCTTTTTCTGGTAATTGTTACTTCATATTTACATAAGATTCCATCCAACAGTCATGCATTAAATATCTATTTATGGCCTTTTTATGTCAAAAAATTTAATGCCCTTTAAGAAAATTAAAGTTATATTGGTATTCATTTGCAGGTATTTAATGTTATTTTATATCCATCCATCCATTATCTATACACCGCTTAATCCTCACTAGGGTCGCGGGGGGGCTGGAGCCTATCCCAGCTGACTTAGGGCGAAGGCAGGGGACACCCTGGACAGGTCACCAGTCTATCACAGGGCTGTTATTTTATATGAGACAGTTAAATTCACAGGCTGTTTTGTCAATATTAGATACATTTTAGATAGAAAACAAATCATAGAATTATGCCCCTCATTCATTCATTCATTCATTCATTCATTCATTCATTCATTCATTCATTCATTCAGTGAGTTAAATGAGCTCCCCTTCATTTGATATGGTTCTTGATCTGATCCACAACAGCACAGTGAAATAACTGAACAACAAACACCAGAGGGCAGCATCAGAGAAGCAGCATCTGCAGAGGAGAACCTGATAATAAACAGAACATTGACTGAAATCTGTATAAACACAAGTTTTAAGATGATTCTGAGACATTATGTAGTCTTAAATTCAACTTTTTAAGCATAACATGCAGGTACACGTCACATTTCTATTAATAAAACATTCACACAGTGACAGAGCAGTGACATGTCGCTGATAAATGATGAGCTGACAGACTCCCCTCTTAATGAACCCGTTAAATGAAACTGTGCCTCATGTTATTCAGTTAGGACTGAATAATTCATTGATTTTAAATCACAAAAGCTGCAGTGTAGGATAATTATTACACAGCATGTCAGACCCAGAGTTTGTTCTTAATTATCTTTATCTTTTATCAACTTGATTGCAGAAAATTCAGCACGAAGATGCTGCTCCAGAGCCATGAAAGGTCCTATAATATTATATTTTTTATTAATATTACTTTATTTATTTCTCTAAACACTGTCACAGCTTTTGTGATAATTGTTTTACCTTCTGTGCCTTTTATATGTAAAGAAATCAATGTTTGAAGCAGTTTATTTTTAAATTAGAATATAGAGCATTTAATATTTTGATGATTAAACTTTTTAAGAATCTGAAATCTTAAAAAAATCACATTGCAATTAAATATTTTCCCCAAATACTTCAGCCCTGTGCAGCACAGAGTCAGGCTCATGATTTTTCATAGTATTTGCAATTATTTTTTATTTTATTTTTGTTGTTGTTGTTGTTTACAAACAGACACAAAACAATATTTCAAAATGTGAAATCTTTTATTTTCTTCATTGGTCACTTCTGTGAATCAAAATCTCCAAATTCAGCACATTTCACTTCCCTCAGATCTCCATGTCAGTCCATCCATGACTGATATCTGTGTGTTTAAATCTGGTTTTCCTTCTTGATAATTGGAAGCACTCATTTTTATTTTATTTTTTAATTTATGCATTCATTAATCTAGAAAAAAAAGTTGTTCTGAAGAGCGTTCAGGCCATCTCGTAGAGCATGCTGAGGGTCACCGCGAAGCTGACAAACTCCTTGAAATCCACTCGGCCGTCGCCGTCTTCATCCAGAGAGTCGAAAAAGTCCTTTATTTCCGCTTTGCTCATGTCCTAGTGAAAGAAAGCAATTGTTAGATCATTCTCATTTAGCCTTTCAGTCGTGAGATGGTCTGCACCTACTCACTTCTGTTCCGGGAACCTCGTTGTGCAGCATCTCTGTGAGCTCTTTCTTGGTCAGGGTTCCTTTCTCGTCGCTGTTTCCGGCGTACTTATCGAAGAGCTCCTTCAGAGATGTGACCGCTTCCGAGACGGTAGTCATGGTGGCTGCGGGGGGAAGATATTGTTGCCTTCTTTAGCCGCTTTTCAAGACATATGATCCAGTGCAGGTGGTGCAACAGAGAAGCAAACTGGTAGTTTGGTGTGACGGGAAAATTTTCATTTACTTTGCATTTAAAAGCTGCTTAGTTCCATCACACACTTCTATAAGCTGCCCTCACTGATTCATTTTCACTTCCTTACTGCACATATGTTCATCTTTTTAAACTTCATGAAGCCTTTAAAAGGAAATCTTGGTAGCTGTACATGTTACATACCAACTATTGAGACGAATCAATGCAAAATCATGATAAAAACATTGCATTTTAAGCAGAAGGTTACAGAACATTTGCTCTTACCAAAGTTGCTCGTGTAAGTCGAGACGATGGAGGAGTTGAATGTGTGAAGAGACCGCAGACCCCAGACCTTTTTAAAACAGGCTTCGACCCACCTTCTTTCCAGCTCCCCTCCCCTCTGTCCGTCTTTTCCTCTTCATCCTGTCGCTTTTCTTCATTCTTTTCTTCTTATCTCCAAATTGTCAAAGTCGTTTTTTTTGTTTTGCTTTTAACTAACGCCTCTGACGCACCAGGAATACCGGTTTGAGCTGTCAAGACGTCTGTTTTAGCTCTCAAATAGCAGAAATGTGATTTTTTTATTAGATAATGACTGATTTATGTCCTTTGTTGGTAACATTGACACCCAAACAGACGATTGCAGTAAAGCTGACAAGCAAAGAAAATGTCAGCGTAGATGCTACATATTATGTAGTGTAAAATAGTGATGTACACAGGTTTATTATCTCATTTGTCACTTTGATCTTGCAGCATTTGATGCTACTTACTGATCAGAATTTACGGCAGCAGTTAAACCAACACAGTTAAAGTCGTAAAAGATCATTAGCATCAATAAATTATGATCATTTCGCTTTATTCCACCGCAGAAAGAATGCATATTAATTTAGAATTAAATGATAAATGTAGCATGCACATTTATAAACGCTGTGCAACATCGATTTTTCTTCATTTACTAGAATATATGCAATTCAGTTTTCTATTTACGCACAGTCTGTGCAATATTAATGTATTATCAGTATTTTTATGCATCAAAAATAAGTGCAATACCGCTGATGTGTGCAATAAGGTTATTTTTTAGATTTAGGACTAGTATATGTTGGTTTATTATTATTCTACTTTCCTTCAATGTTTGTCTCTGCTGCTGTGACGCTGCAAATCTCCCCACTGTGGGTTTAAGAAAGTTATCTTGCCTTATGCTCAGCCGTATGTATTGCCTTGATAACATCTAGTCACACGATGAGAATCCAGCTGCCCTTCATGCCTTCCACGCTACATCACTCTCCTCTCTTAAACTATTTGGTAATTGTTGCACATCCCCCTTTAGCACTTTTAGAATTCAAGTTTCACAAAGTGCTTTGACAGCTAGAAAAAAACCCAGAAGGCAAAGTAGGATAAAGCTAAAACAAAAAGATCACAGCACCGCTTTAACAACTGAGCCAAATTACTTTCAAACAGAGAAACAGAATGATGCTATGAATTTATCAAGTATTATATTCAATATTAAAGGTAAAACTCTAAGATGTGGTATACTGGGGCAGTTATCTGATTATTTTAAAATTATTAAAGCATTAATGAAGCAAACACAGTGTTCACGTTATCTATGTTAGATTGGGAAGAATAACTGTATTTAAAAACTATGCTGACAAACATTAAAAAAACAGTACAGTTTTGTAAAGCAAAGAGAAATAATGATGACGGCTCCTTTCCTGCAGAGTCTGAAGGTTCAAAATGCTGTTTGTTGGAATCCATTAACTGCCATCATTTTGCCCGATGTGAGATATCTGTCTTTGCTTGCTTTCTCTACATTTTAGCACCAGATTGCATCCGAGCTTAAGCGCTGTTGGTTTCTGCTAAAGTATATTTGTCTGCAGCGTGCCGTGTGTTGCACTCATGTTCTCTGTTTTTGGGAAATTAGGCTGCTTTACTATGTACACTGTCTGCCGAAGCAAAAGAGGAAAAAAAAGCCAAACAAGTGTGAGTTCTTCCCTGTGCCATATCACTTAAATGTTCAACAATTCAAAGTTGTGTCACCTTGCAGTAATCAGATTACTTCTAAGTTCACAGTAGGGTATTTGCTTAGATGTCTAATTAAAAACTATTTCCAAAATTAAAATTCACTGCAACAAAAGTCAGTCGTACAGTCACTACTGGGATTCAGATCTTTCATTTTTATATAAATAATTGTCTCATATGTATGACATAGACAATACCACATTTCTGGAGAGATGTTCTGCTATTCTTTATGCTGTTCTTTCCTCATTTTCAAGTTCATCCTTTGTAGAAACTCTTAAGTCAGCACAACAAAGTCAGCACATCTGAATGAAGGATACCACATTTCTGCAGAGATGTGCCGATATTCAGACTATTTTTCAGCTGCTCTTTGCTGGAGGGCTTGTGTTGCTCTGCCGGTCTCTTTTAAATACCCCAAAGATGTTCTGTTGGATTCAAGTCAGGCAACATACTTGTCCAGGTCCTAGTTTCTGACTTCATTCTTCTGTAGAAACTCTTGTGTGATTTTGATCTCTGGATGGTTCTTCTACTGGAATATTCCTCTTCTTCCAGCTTATGCAGACTGGGAGTCATCTAGTCAGCCAGTATTCTGGTTTATCCTCAGACATTCATCTATAAATGTCATCAACACCTTCTGCCCTCATGCAGCCCCATATCATGATGCTGCCACCTCCGTGCTTCACTGTCAGGACGATGCATCCACTGTGGTGGTCCTGGTCAGGTNACATGCAGTGATCGTCACAAACACACAAAGAAACTCACATCACTCACAATTTAAGAGTTTATTCTCTTCCAGGATTAAACACAGACTTCTTTGATAAAACCGTGTACATTGTTGGAACTTTTGCCATTTGAGTGTTTTACACTTTTGCACTTGATGGTCTGTTTTTATTCTGAATCATCATCAAGGGGCTGGCCCTTCTCCTTCTTCTCTTGAAGTTTCTTCACCAAACGGGAGAAGACTTTAAACTCCTCAAAGCTGAGCTGGCCATCACCGTCATCATCCTTCCTCTTAATTATTTTGGGGACACGCTTGAGGAGTCTCTCCTGCAGAACACGTTGTTGCAGTTAGACAGCAGAACATGCGATGAAAGGTGAGTAACATGCAGAACAACAGGTGCATAGAACTGAAGCAGGTAAACTGAACATGTCTCTTACTTTGATGTCATCCTCCCAGATTTCTGCTTCAATCATTTCCTTGAATTCTGCTTCGCTTAAGAGCTCATTGTTACCAGCATACTTTTTAAACATTTTCTCGATATCTTCCATTGCAGCAGCTGGAGAACAACATGAAGAAGGATTTTAAGCCATAGAAAATGGAACACAGAATTTAGTTTTTTTAAATCACAAATTGCTTTCCCTCCCTCTGCAGCTTTGTCTCCATCAGTACTTACCTCAGAGTTCACCAGGTGAAGAGAAGTCAGGTCTGAGTTCAGATGAGACTGATGCTCACTGAGGACAAACCTCCTTTTTATAGCAGCAGACTCAGTGTTTCACATGCAGGTAATTATAGATGAATGTCAAAGAACAGGTGCTGAATCATGGACTAGATATGCAGCCAACTCCTTCCAAACCAGCTTCACAGGTCCATTTGTGCCAAATGTTGCCAACAGAACCTTTTATTATTCAACAAAAGACAGATTCATGTTTGCGCTACTATTATTTGGTCAAACATCCATTTTCACCTCAGTTAGTGACAAGACTCAGGTTTAGGATCCAAGCGCAGGACTCGAGAGTGGGAGTGAATAAAAGTATTTATTCACAAAAAATATCTAAATTACAACACAGAAAACCTCTCTTCAGGTCACTGGACAGAAAAACCACACAAACAAAAAATCACAGCAAAGCTGGAGAACAAAGCATCAAAATAAGGAAACAAGAAATCAGGAGCACTTAGCTTAGAGCTGTGGACGGTCAAGACGGCACAGGGACAGTACATGAACACGACACACTGNACTTTCTCCTGCAGAACACGTTGTTGCGGTTAGACAGCAGAACATGCGATGAAAGGTGAGTAAAATGCAGAACAACAGGTGCATAGAACTGAAGCAGGTAAACTGAACATGTCTCTTACTTTCATGCGACAGTCGTCGCCGATTTCTGTTTCAATCATTTTCCTCAATTCTTCTTCGCTTAAGAGGCCATCGTTACCAGCATACTTGTCGAACTTTTCCTGGACACAGTCATCGGCCATTGTAGCAGCTGGATAAAAACATGAATGAGGATTTTAAGTCATAAAAAATGGAACACAGAATTTAATGCCTTTAAATCACACAGATTAAAATGAGAATAAAGTTAAACTAAGATGTCTGCAAATATTGTAAAGCTTTATGAAATCTCCGGACAGACAGCAGGTTTTTCTCCTCGTCCTGCTCAGAATCTGAATATATTACAGCCTGTTTATTACTTTCCCTCCCTCTGCAGCTTCGTCTCCATCAGTACTCACCTCAGAGTTCACCAGGTGAAGAGAAGTCAAGTCTGTGTTCAGATGAGACTGATGCTCGCTGAGGAGAAAACCTCCTTTTTATAGCAGCAGACTCGTAATGTCTGACATGCAGATAATATTAGATACAAATAAAAAAACAGCCGGTGATTCATGTAGTGGAAATGTGTCCCACTCCCTGCAAACCAGCCTCACCGGTCTTTTTTTTTTTTGTCGAACGTTACCAACAGAACATTTTTCATTCAACAAAAGACATTGCGCTACGTGTGTGTTTGCAAAGTGCTTGTTAGGCAGGTGGAGTCGATCATCTGAAGGTTACAATTCGTTTTTTTATTTACTAGCTGTGAGGTGGAGAAATTCTGTATGTCAGAGTTGAAACAGCGTCTTTACCTCGTGTGCACGTGCGACATGGAATAACCTGCAGAACAATCAGGTTTTTGCTCTCAGCTGGTCTCAGTTTGGTTGATTCATTTGTGAAATTAGATTTAAAAGGTTTTCTTTATTTTTTTTTTTTTTCCTTTACTAACTTTGCCTTTTAGGATTTTTACTGTCACTGTTATGATCCAGCCTCTAGGCTCAGCTGGATGTAACACAAAACCAGATGGAAATGGTTCAGGTGATGCAATTTATTGCTCAGTAACGTAAATGAACATAGCACAGCTGTGACGATACAAAAGAAGCTGGTGGATGTTGCTAAAAATCAAAGAACCAAACGAAGGCTAACAGAGTGCTGAACGCTGGCTAACAGAAAATAAAACCAAACTCCTTAGCCATGATTCAATCTGACAGCAACATCTACACATAACAAAAGAAACTAAAACAAACTAGTGCCTCAAAACATACAGTAC